AGTTTTATACTATTTTCCACTTGATTATTGGCTAATTCTTATGATTATTGAACGTTTTTAATTAATGTGTTTATTAGTATTGTTTTATAAATTTGGTGAGATGGTGTTAATGACAGTAAAGGTGGAGAAAACAAATGGCTTAGAATCAAAAGAAGAGAAAATGAGAAGAAAAAAGGGCAAATGAGTCATTTTACCATATCCAAAAAAAAGAAGAAGAAGACGACGACTACCCGACAGGTGTCGCTGTCATGGCACCTAGGCACCACCAGAAGATCCAAGGAGACAGAATTGTGGCGCCTAAACAAACAAGCGACAAAGGTGTGGCGCCGCAACGTTATGGCATCACAGGGAGAAATTACGCAGCACACTGGCTCCACTTCCATACATCTAGGCTCCGCGAACATACAAGGCGCGTTTTTTCTACCCATTTTGAAGCCCATAAAAACCCTTCATTTCTATACAAATGTGGGAAGTAGTATAAATACGAGAATGGAGGCACTTTTGAGAGGTTCCACACATTGAGATGCACAATATACAACTTGAGAATCAGAGAAAAAAATTACGATGGAGAAAAACAACAAATCAAGAGTTAGGGTTTGGAATCAAGATTGGAGGCAAGAAGTGAAACTTGATGCAAGATTTGTTGACCTATGTTTTGATTATAACAAACAACTTATGTTTTATCTCCTACTTAATCCTTAAATTTACATGTAGGCAAATTGAGTCAAAGTCATTGAACGAAATGTTGACAATCAAGAAAGCTCAAACAAAGATTGATCGAGCACTCATGAAGACAAGCTTTACGCACCGTATTATCAAAGACTTTGTAACTAGATTTTTCTTGAGTCGATTGTAAAGGTAAATCACTTTAAAATCCTAGCAATTACACTCTCGAGCTCGAGTAATAGTTTTCTTGCACTCAACACATTTTACGAGACAAAAACGTTTGCACAAAATTATTCTTCAAAAGAAAGTTTTTCCAACATATTTCTCGAAAACGATCAAAACAAACTTATATTAAAAGATCAAGGAAAACCATTATTTGCGAATATAACAAAAAGGAAAATAACGCAGAAAACTATCTGGTCATCCGGACGTCCGGATGGCGAACCGGACTTCCGATTCGCCAGCAACGGTCACTTTTTTGACCGTTCTGACAAAGTACTTTTAACAGTACGTTAGGTCATCCGATTCAAGTCCGGACGTCCGGTTAGTCGTCCGGTTGGACAGAGACTTTGACATTTTTCAACTGCTATAAATACAAAATCACCTACCAAATTTGATAAACCTTGAGCCTAAATTGATCCTACAAATTATTTATTATCAAATCATTCAGCTCTTGAAAAATCTTTAATCAAAACTCATTCTTACATCAAAGATTTACACATCAAACACTTGAACTCCATTCATTGCTATTTGTTAAAGTGTTTACCTACCTCTCTTCTTATACCTAATCTTGTACTCATCATTTATTAAGAAGAGAAGTCTTTCACTTGTAAACTCATTTCGTATTGAGGGTCGTGCTGAGGTCCCGGAAAGCTCAACGTTGTAAAAGGATCGGTGTTCCTTAGTTGTAAGTCATCGGAAGCGTTGTAAAATGTTGGATTGCGCCATAAGTCAATCAATATAGTGAAAAAGACATTGCTCTTAGCGGAGAGCTTGGTAACGAGGGACATAGATCATTGCATTGGATCGAACCTCTATAACATATCGTTTGCTCTTTCTTTCCCTTTTACTTAATGCATTTACTTCACCCAAATCTATATTGTTCGACTTTCGTGTTTACTTGTGCATAGATTATTCTCTATCATTTGCGCGTTCATTATATTAAAATCTTGAGTGATGAACGGAAAAGTTTTAATAACCAATTCACCCCCCTCCTAGTTAGCCAATCTTGGGCTTTCAAGATTAATCCACTTCTCCACATATCAATTCAAAACTCGGTGATGTACTTAATGCAAATCTTGTGTTTTTCTTCCATTATTATGAGTATCTAAGTTTTTCATTAAGGAGAATAATGTAATATTTCTTTTTTTCAAAATTCAAGTTTTTTCATTATTTATGTGTTGATTTTAATTATGTACTTAAAATTTTGAATTACTTAATCACTAATTCAATAATTTTGTGATTTTTTTTACGAATCGAGATGTGGTACTTTAGTATAACGTGTAGAAATACATATACGAATTATTGCGGTCATTAGATGAATTTTTAGAACTAATATTTCGTTTAACTAAAATTGATTCGCATAGAGACATGTAATTGAATTAGTTAAATAGACTCAATGAGAATTCGAGAAGAGTAAATTAAATATAATAAAAGGATTCAATGGAGCACTACATTAGGTTATTAATTTTGAATTAAGATTTAAAAGTGATCAATAGATGAAATTGTTGTGCTCTAATATCTATTTTCATATTTGAAACATCAATTCAATAAATATATAAATGTACAATTTTGATACTTTCAATTTATTGGAAATAGTTAGATTAAAAATCTCAACAATTTATAATTTTTTGCTTGTCATCAAATAATAGTTAGAAATAGTAAATTAAGCATTAAAGTCTAGTATTCATGGGAACGATAATCCGGATTCAAATGTCCACTATATTACTTGTTACAATATCGTACGCTTGCGATATAAAAGAAAAAACAACAAGCTTAATTTTTTTTATTCGTACATTTTATAAGATCTACAATTAATATCGTGAATTGTAAGTTTTGGTTACGGTAAAAGTTAATTAACCAAAAAATAGTGGACCATTTTTAATAGACGTGGTAAGAAGGTACTAAACCCACTATGTATACAGTCAAGTTCATGAAGATTCTTTTCTACGAACCAGAAAAAATTGCAAGTACATGTAGTTAATCATCCATAAAAAGAAAAATTATTATGTTGGCCGGTTGGAGATTATATATTGTACTATGCAAAAAAATTGAGTTTAATGAATTTTGAAGCAACTTTTTAGAATACAATAAGATTATTTTGACCACAAGCAACATTGAATATAAATAAAAAAAAGCCTAAAGAAACGAAGTAAAATTAAAAGTACTCGAAACGCATTGTTTGGGGTTATATAAAAATTGATGAAATTCATTTGAAAAGTTGTGAATTTTATGAAACTTGTAGTTAAAATTAATTGTTGATTTTTATATCAACTCTTTAACGACTTTTTACACTACTAGGTGCAAGTAACATGTAATGCACGTTTGCTTAGTTTATATTTAATATTTTTGTTTAATAATTAATTTGTTATTAATAAAAATGTAATTTTTTTGGTTAATTAAGGGCGTGTCTGGGCGCGCTGCAAGGAGGAAGGAAAATTGATTATGTTACTGTTTTTTTTTTTCAAACCTACAGCCCTACAGTGAGAGAATTGGTCCAAAATTGCGGCTCCCAACGGCATGAATTGTGTTGCCAACGGCTTGATTTCTACTGAAAAACAGAAACAGACACCCTATAAATAATTAATGATGTAATGTTTATGTAATTGATAAATAATTAGATGTGTGATTTTGATATTGTGATGTAGGTTGGTGAGATTGAATTAAATAAGCAAAAGTAGACAAATTTAGACAAATTGCTAAATTGTAAGGGATCCAAAGCTCGGGGGGCTAAAATGTAAATACTTAAAAGTTGTGCCAAATCTCACGATGAAGATTTGAGAGTGCTCGGAGTCAATTGGATAAAGGAAGATGTCAAGGGGATCAAATTTAGTCAAAAGATGATCACAAATCAATTTCCAACCGAAAAGTTATGCTCCGGTGTTTTAGTCTCATATT